AGTAGGAACTAAAAGACCCTTATTGTTAATTCTAGGATTCCTTGGTTTATACATCAGGGTTATATATAGATAATATCCGATAGGCAGTGGGATGGGTGCTTTCCGCCATATTTCCTGTTCCTTGTTTGGTTGTGGGCTTAGGGCAGAATCACTCAATCAACTGTCCGTTCGATCTTGACTATATATAACTCGTATGCACTAAGTACTCGTAGAAGGAACTGGTATGTGTCATTTTTACTTATCATTCAATTACATCGGAAAATATAGGATTTTCTGGAGGAACACTCAAGGGTTTACAAGAAACAATTAATATACTTTCTAAAACAAAATGCTTATGAACTCACCAACTTTAATGTTGACACTTTCAAAACCACTTGTATTCTAAGGACACTAGTAGACAGGTACACACATAGGGTTCTAGAAGACGAAGCATAGTAGCTTAAAGTCTTGTTTTGTTAATTACTTTTGGAGTCAATTATATGTGATTCGAATACAATGTAAATACTATAATATTAATGCAATGGTTGTTGTTACTTTGATTACTATTATTCAATTGTTGTGATACTGTACATGATGTCCTACGCCCCCGAACATTTCCGCCGTTCCGGTTTGGGGGTGTGACATATATCTACTTAATCAAGCGTAATTCAGAAACTTTTTAAAAGTTCAAAGAGTTTAAGCAAGAAGTGGAGAATCAATTGGGTAGGAAGATAAAGATGCTCAGATCTGATAGCGGTTGTGAGTATCTTAGTATCGAGTTCCACGAGTATCTTAAGGAATGTGGAATTGTTTCACAATTTACGCCACCTAGGACACCACAACTTAATGGTGTAGCTGAGAGGCACAATCAGACCTTGTTGGACATGGTTCGTTCGATGATGAGTCGAACTTCGTTACCTATCTCATTCTGGGGGTATGCCGTAGAGACTGCCGCCCATATCCTTAATCTAGTCCCAACTAAGAAGGTTGCCAAAACACCTCACGATATGTGGACATGGAAGGTTCCCTCGTTAGCACATATCAAGGTTGGGGGGTTGCGAGGCTTTCGTAAGATGAGAGACTCACGACAAGCTCGAACCTCGTAGTGAGCGTTGTATTTTCATCGGCTACCCATATAAATCCTTTGGATATTTGTTCTATAGACATAGTGAGAACGTGGTCTTCGTAGCATGAAGGGGTGTCATTCGTGAAAGAGAACTCATATGCCAAGAGGATAGTGGGAGGCAAGTTGATCTTGAAGAGCTTCAAGAGACAAGTGATGAAGGAACCTCTAACACTGACACTCAAACAGAGGATGGGACTCCTATTGAACCAGTATACGTTCCACTAGAGTTAGTGTTCCACCTGTGTTGTATGGTTTCTATATAACAACTGAAGGTGATACGTTTATCAGTGATAATACACTGATAAATTTGGATGAGCCTAATAACTACAAGGAAGCCTTGGCGGGCCAAGAGTCTACAAAGTGGAAAGAGGCAATGGACAACGAGATTCAGTCCCTGCATGACAATCAAGTCTGGAACTTGGTTGACAATGTACACTACTAGGAAACAGACCTTTAATGACACACTTTTTACGACACGCACTGATTAATGATACGCAAAAGGGCGTGCCCTAAAAATAATGTCAGATCTTTAGAAATTTGAAGAATTCAGGACGCGCATTTTTGCGTGCCCTAAAATTACTGTCTCACAAAAAAAACAAAAAAAACACGGAGGGCACTTATGTTAAAGACGTGTTGTCTAGAAACGTCGCTTTATAAATTTTACAAACGCGCTCTTCGGCAGCTAGTATGGGGGAAAAAGGAAATCAAAAATATTAGAAAACCCGCCTTCCTTCCTTGTTTCCCCTCTTTAGCTCTTAGCTCTGGGTGTGTTCTTTGACCACAAAAATCTTCTCTAGTCTTCCTCCGCCTCCCTACATCGAGTGTTGCTTGCTTCTTTCCCTTGCACTCCGACCCCCGCCACCGATTCTTCCCTGTTCGTTGACATCGATTATGGCTCACTTACTTCTACCCACTGGAACCACCATATCTCCCACTCGATGTTGAAATTGTCAGAAAAAGCCCTAATTCAGTATTATACTCTCAAGTCTCAATATTAGGAATGCAAATCTTGATTCTCGTTTGTTTCAAATTCTCATTTGTTCTAAGCATCATTCCGTATTGATGAAAGATTATAGAAGCCCAAAAGTGGATACTTGAATTTCTGGAAACATGGGCGCAAACACGAATGTTACGCTCAAAGGCCGAAGCACTGCACTCCTATATGGAATTGGAAAGCATGACTGTTTTCTTTTAGAAACTACATCGGAATCGCAATTCGGAAACCGTCCAACATCATTTGCTCGAACAAGATTCCGTTCTTCTCTTCGGGTACACCTATGCTCTTGCTCGATTTTCGTTCTACCCTTTCTGGTTCTATTAGGGTTTTGATGCTCATGCTCTTCACAAACATGTCTTTGATTTTTCAATCGCATGTAACTCTTTCAACTGTTCAAAACCATAGTTTCTATCTCTTAGGAGGATTTCGCAATATGTCTTGCTAATTTCAAGATCGTCTTCTTTATTTGGTAAATTGTAAAATTCTTTTTGTTCATGCATTCCAAGCAAGCAAGCATCCAGTCTTTTCGGTGACGAATCTAGAACAAAAAGTTATGTGGTTCCTCATACGAAATTAGATAGGTCCTTTATATTTTTTAATATGATAAGGTAGGTCCTAATATAAGTTTACATATAATTTCTAAAAGATATTAGAATTTAGGTAGGTCCTAGGACCTACCTTGAATACATTTAGCTATGCCCTTGAGTCTTCTGATTGCTAAAGATCTGCTACAGACAGACTATTTTCGAGATCGCGTATCATTTAGTCTCATGAATCATTGAGTTTTAAGAATATTGGGTTGGGTCTTCGCCTGTGGTGGTTATAGTCCACACACGTATATGTGATGGAGACTTTGTTAACTTGTACTTTTGCAGTCGATGGGAGTTTATAGTTGCTTCTTTTTTTCTTTTTGTGCAGCGAGATTTACCATATATATATATATATATATATATATATATATATATATATATATATATATATATATATATATATATTGCCCAGGTTTAAAGCTTTATAGGCTTCATGGCGAGGATTAAACCTCAAGCTCTGTTACAGCAAAGAAAGAAGAAGAAAGCACCCAGAAGTATCACTATCCCCACAATTGCATTGTACAAGGTAGTTACTGTTGTTATGGTGTTTTTCCTGTTTGCTACTTACAGACACTGGTCTCAAAGGTTTGTTGACAAGAAATGTTTTTTTTTTCATTTGAATGTTTAAGAAGGAAGCCAAAACTTTCTTTTTCTTGTTTGTATTTATGCCACAGTTAGTCCATGAACTCGTGGAAAACGCTTGGTCCATAAGGGCTATCACCTGAGGATTGGATACAAGTTCCACTAGCACTAAACAATTAGTTACTTCCTTAAATGGTTGTATGGGCAACTGATATATATATATATATATATATATATATATATATATATATATATATATATATATATATATATATATATATATATATATATATATATATATATATATGGGAAAATGACTTGCTAAGGTAATTAACTTTTCGGTATGTTCAGATCTGGGTAATTATCTTTTTTTTGTACACATCTAGGTAACAAACTTATTGGAAGTGTTCACATATAACCATTATGACCGGTTGTAGCAGGTCACATCCTAGATGTGAACACTTTCAACAAGTTCGTTACCTAGACGTGTAAAAAAAAATAGTTACCTAAATATGAACAAAACAAAAAAGTAAGAGTAAATTACACGAATAGTCCCTGTGGTTTGGGGGAATTTGTATTTTTGGTCCTTAACTTATTTTTTTAACTCGGATGGTCTCTATTGTTTATTTTTGTTGCGCGTTTGGTCCTTGTCTTACCAAAAAAGACTATTGTGTCATTATTAACTTATTTTTTTAATTAATTTTCTTATTTATGTATTTATTTTTTATATATTTAAAAAAATTAATAGACCCCATATATATGTATCTCCTCATCATCCCATCTCTCATCATCCTCCCATCCCATATCTGTATCTCCTCACATATTTGTATCTCCTCACCATCCAATCCTTCATCCTCCATCTTTAGTGATATCGACGTCTTCACCACCCCTTCTTTTTTCGGTCATTCAACTCCGTTGAATCAACACCACAACCCACTAAAGATAAAGAGACAGTGGGTTATGGTGTTGGTTCGCTAGATTTAAAGAACCAAAAAAAGAAATATGGTGAAGACGTCGATGTCACTAAAGATGGAAAAGAAATAGAAATTGAGGAGGATGAGAGATAGGATGGTGACCGGTGAGACTCAAATTAAATTTCTCAAATGTGGTTTCAGGTTTACGGCGAGGAGATACAGATATGTGGGGTCTATTAATTTTTTTAAATATATAAAAAATAAATACATAAATAAAAATTTTAATTAAAAAATAAATTAATAAAGACACAATAGTCTTTTTAGGTAAGACAAGAACCAAACGCGCAACAAAAATAAACAATAGGGACAATCCGAGTTAATAAAACAAGTTAGGGACGAAAAACACAAATTCCCCCAATCCACAGGGACCATTCGTGTAATTTACTCTTACTTTTCGTTTTGTTCATATTTGGGTAACTATTTTTTTGTATACATCTAGGTAACGAACTTGTTGAAAGTGTTTACATCTAGGATGTGACCTGTTACAGCCGGTCATAATGGTCATATGTGAACATTTCCAACAAGTTTGTTACCTAGATGTGTACAAAAAAAAGATAGTTACCCAGATGTGAACAATACCGAAAAGTTAATTACCTTATCAAGTCATTTTCCATAGATATATATATATATATATATATATATATATATATATATATATATATATATATATATATATATATATATATATATATATATATATATATATATATATATATATGTGTGTGTGTGTGTGTGTTCTTGGTCCTAAAGCATGGATTTTTCCTCTTCTTTTTTATAAATTACCATCATCACTCAATCATAGTGAGGAAACATGAACTTGTATAACATCTTACCTTATTCGATCATGGCTTGCATCCAGACATTGCAAGAGCAAGAACTAGGTCTAGGTCATGCATCTAAAAACACCTAACTATTGATGTGCATGCTATTTTTAGGTCAGTAATGCAGACAGAGGAAGGAACATCAAAATTTCAGGTACAACAGTTTTGTTATTCTTTCTTCTTCCCCCAAACCTTTGCTTATTTCCAGTAGTAGTTGAGTAGTATGATTATTGAATGCCCTTATATCGGTAAGTGATTATATAGAGAAGGTAGGACAAATGGAGAGATCCTGGAGTAAAGCTACAACTTTATTATGGAACCAAACCAACAATGGAATGGAATGGAATGAGAAAAGGGTTGCACGTTTCTTATGGGATTGATTGCTACAGAAAACCATTTTCTTATTTATTTATTTTTTTCCCACAAAGCAATCAGATGATTTCTTGTTACTAGTTATATTGTCCAATTTAGTTTCTTTAATCAATTACAGGTCGAAGATGACTTTTCAGATTCAAAGAAATCAGATGTACCTAGATATGCTGTAAGTTTGCTTTCATTTGTCATATGTTTTTGCTGTAAACTATAGGCACCATTTGTTTATATCCTCAAGTAAGTATGATTAGAGGTGACAATTTCGACCCATTTACTTATAAGTTATAAATGGGCCAAGTTTTATCTGTATAGGGTTAAATTTGGTAAAATCAGCAGAAATGAAACACGTCAAAAGGTTGAAAGTTCCATGGAGTTATTTTTAAAGCATACAATCTCCTAAATGCTTTATTAAAAAATAGATTATTATTGTATATATAATCATATGGTAGCAGTCTCTGTACCCTGTACCTTGGGGTGGAGGTCCGATTGTCTACATCTTACCCCATTCCTATATATGGGATTTGGGTATTGTTGTTGAATCATATTTAACACACACTAACACTAACATAAAATAAAACAATTGTAGGTTGTTGGTTGCTACATAAAAAAGATCCATAACTGTTGCTTGTAATATCCATTTGGGTTTGTTTGATACTTTATTGTTTGTGTGTCCAGATTTTTAACACTTCTAAAGGTTTGATTACGGTGGAATTACTTTACAAGGAAGGTTCACCTGAAGTTGTGGATGAATTTATCGATGCGTGGTCAGTATCCATGTCTTTCATTGTTTTGTTTTGTGGTGGTAGTTGATGTTTTTGGAATGTGTGGTTGCAGTCAGAATGGACATTTTAAAGGGATGCTGTTTCAACGTGTGGTGAAACATTTTGTAATCCAAGGAGGTGACTCTGAGAATCATGCAGTTATAGAGGACTGGACTTCCAGAGAGAAGCACTACAATCAGCTAGAGAAAAGGTTGCTCTCTAAATCCATTTTGTAACTTGTAATATTATTCACTCTTCAATCTTCATCATCATTTAATAATAATTAACAATCCATGCACATCCATATCCATCCAGATTAAAGCATGAAGCCTTTAAATGTCTTCACCACCATTTTCATTCTCATCTGTTGTTTCTTTATTTGAAGGTTCCTATTCATTGGTCTCTGCATTTGGCTCAGATGTCTCATCTGCAACCTCATTGCCAAAAACATAAGAGGCTTCTTCATCCTTCACTGGAGTTACATTTTCACTCCTCACTGGAGTTACATTCCCACTTCTCACAGGAGTTACATTTTCACTCCTGAATGGAGCTGTATAGAAGCATGGATTCTTTGTCACATTATATTTTATAGGAAAAAGTTAAATATAATAATATATATGATTAGTGATTAGTGATTACCTTGGTCAAAATTAACAGGTGAGGTAGAGGAAGAGACAGGGCAGAGGCAGATTCTAATGATGAAAGTTTTCTGTGCCTACGAGGAGGGGAATGGTGGTCAGATGGTGGTCCCTTCTTTTCAGCGGTGAGGACATTGGATAAGGCGGCTACTGCCGCCGCTCTCTGGGACCCACGAGCTAGCATTCTTGGCGGTGGTCCATGTTGAGGAGTTTTAGGAGCAGTAGTTGATTTTGAAAAAGTAGAGGTTAAAGCTGCCATGGCTGATGCTCTTTGGGTGGCCCCACTAAGTTTATTTCCCGGGGGCTTAACATCTTGGCTCTGTAATAAAATAGGGCCACATTATAAATAATTAATTCAAAAATAAAAAACATTTTTATACAAGAAATACCTCTGCTACACAGCCTGAGCCGAAGAGTTGCACAGCCTTCTTGTTGAATGTGTTTCCGTGAACCTGGTTCCATTGAGAAAGAGAAAAATGAGATACAAATTAATTATATATATATATATATATATATATATATATATATATATATATATATATATATTGGTTTAAATGAGAACCAAAAAAGGTTAAGAACCCTAAAAACTATTTTTTAGATATTTTCATTAAGGACATTTTGGACAAATCAAACATTAATATTATATTAAGCAAAGTTTTTTCATTCCCTAATTCACAACTAGTTGCGACTTGTAGTGGGACCGCTGCCGAACCACCGCCTGACCGTTGTCGGACCACCGCCGGACCACCGTCAGAGTAACAACAAATTTAGTAGCATTTTTCTGGGCGAATTCACAACTTAATATAACAAACATTGTAATTTTCATTTCTTTGCTGATACTTTTTAACACATACCATTTCATTTTTGTAGCAAAATGTACAAAATTTTCATAAAAAAATAAAATTATGCCTTGAAAAATTTAATTTTTTTTTCTAATTTGTAGATTTCTTTAAAAATATATCATGTATAAGATATATTCACAGTTTAAAATACCATATTCAAGTTTAATTAAAGTTTAAATTCACTAATACAGACTTTAATATTTTTGTGCATACATTTTTTCATATTTTAACACAAAAAGTATATAAAATATACAAATTAATACAGTCCGTGTTTAGTTTAATACATAAAATTCACATCGTAACATAATACAATTCAATATACACTAATTCGTATTTTTAAAAAAGTCAAACACAAACACTACCACCAACTACCACACGCCACCGTCAACCACATGTGCCACCATTGCAATCATTGTTCCTTCAAAATCAGATATGTATATAAAATCATTAATTGATAGCTTAAATATTATATTCACAATTTAATAAACCAATTAATTTACTTATTATAAGTTTAATGCAAAATAATTATAAAAACTAATGTATTCTTACATATTTATACAAGCCAAAAAATTAATATATTCACGAAAAAACTAATACAAAAACGTTCACACATAAATAATTCGTATTTTAACATAAAATTCATTAAGTCACTGCTTATACAATCAATTCACTGTTTAAACAGAAAATTCACAACTTAATGCCATTAATTAACATTTTTAAACACAAAAATCACATTTTAATAAAAAAATTCACAACTTAATATAGTCAATTTACAATTTAAAGTAAAAATTCATAGGTTAATGCAATTAATTTATAGTATAAACATACAAATCATAGCTTAATATATAAAATTCACAACTTATTACAATAAATTCACAGTGTAGTGCTGAATAAGTACAAATTCACAACCATGTTATCAACTTAAAACTCTTACTACAGTCAATTCACATTTTAATACACAAAATTCATAACTTAATGTAATAAATTCACAGTTTAATACACAAAATTCACACTTAATATAGTTAAGTTACAGTTTAATAGGAAGATCACAACTTAATGCTGTCAATTCACAGTTTAAAACACAAAAATCACAGTTTAATACACAAATCATTCATATTATATCATAAAATCCATATAAGATTCACAACTTAACATAGGCGATTCACAACTTAATATTGTCTATTCATAGCTTAATACAGTTCATTCAAAGTTTAATCACAAAATTCATATAGTTGAAGTTTAAGAACGAGAAGATATACACATCAGATATGTAGCAAAATAATATATTCACAACTTAACTTTAAGAAGATCACAACTTAATGCTGTAAATTCACAATTTAAAACACAAAAATCACAGTTTAATACACAAATCATTCATATTTTAACATAAAATCCATATAAGATCCACAACTTAACATAGGCGATTCACAACTTAATATTGTCTATTCATAGCTTAATAAAGTTCATTCACAGTTTAATCACAAAATTCATATAGTTGAAGTTTAAGAACGAGAAGATATACACATCAGATATGTAGCAAAATAATATATTCACAGCTTAAAACTTTAAGACCTCCACAAAAAACTAGACAAATTAAGAGTAAACTATCATATCTAATAGAGATCTAAAACACATTAACGAAGATATGAAGTAAACCAACACATTAGAGCATGATCGGGGAAGAATTTGCTCAAAATAACAACAAAAAACTCATTTTGACAAGCTCTGGAAGAACATAAATGAATGAAAATACTAAAATCATGTACACAAACGAAATAAAATGATTTTACCTGTAATATCCGCCAGATCTGGAACAAAAAACACGTGAAACTTGTCAGTCCCGTAAGGAATCACCGTCGACAGATTGAAACCACAAAACTAACACTAGTGACAAGAGATTATAGTTATTAAAATTCGGATTCACTTAGATCTAACCAGATCTGGACATATCTAAACTATGAACACCATGAGAATCAAGAAAAAACCATCAGACTCTCATATCTAACCAAGAAGCGCCAAAAAAAGGCGTCAAAATCACGAATCTGTCAACATGCCACCACACATGACAGAAAGATGTCGTCGTTCGCCGGAGATCATATAGATCCAGATCTAGAGATGAAAACAACAAACAAATTTCGTAAATCTAGATCTAGAAAAGAAGAAGACGAAACCCGATCTGAAGAAATTAGATCCAGATCTAGACAAGAAGAAGAGAAAACCAGATCTAAAGAACTCAGACCTAGAATCATGAGCACGAAGCACAAAAATGCACTGATCTGAGACGTTGAGGTGGTGGTTCGACATCGGAGGAGGTCGACGTTGCTGGTGGTTGTTAGCGTCTTCAGCGCCGACGGAAAGGCGGTTCCAGATCTGAAGTTCCGACGAAGAATGTAGGTGTTTTCGCAGGAGATCGGAGGTTGTGACAGAGGAAGTGGAGTGATTGTGGTGAAGCCACCGTCGGCGACGGTGGCGGTGGTTGTGGTGTTCATTAGAGGTCACTGAAAGAGATGAGAGAATAACTTTTTTGTTTTGAACAACTATGAAGAATGGATCTGATATAAGTTTATGGAATAAGTTTTTCAAAAAGACCATTATAACCTTATTAGTTTTTGTTATTTATTAAAGATTAAAAAAATAAAAATATTAGAATAAACAAAAATAGCCTAGAAATATGTGGTTCTTAGGGTTCTTAACCTTTAGAGATTCTCATTTGAACCTTTACCTCTATATATATATATATATATATATATATATATATATATATATATATATATATATATATAGTAGTTTTTGCAGGATCCCATGAGAAATATGTTGTGAAGAAGCAAGGTTCGTTTCCCTCTGTTACTCTGTATAACACACATGTATGTATATATATACAAAATTATCCTGGAAATTTGAGAGATTTTCATTGTGTTCCAGGAAATCGAGGAAGTGGACACAGACGAACATTACAGACCTAAATCTCGAATCGGGATCATTGACGTGACACTGAAACAGAAGATTTAAGGTCCCAGATCCCATAAAATTGTTTAATGATGCTAGATTGCGTGCTGCTGGAGAAGCTTCTCAACGTAGCACTAAAGAAGATTGGGCAGAGTCGATGAGACATTTCAGCATTGAATTACTTAAGGAATCACCTTCTCCAGCTCTAAGAACATGTGCCAGGCTGGCACAGTTACAGGTGTCATTTTTAAAATTTGATATCTTTTATAAATTCGATTGTAACCCTAGTTTCTTTTTGTAGCCATTTGTTGGACGAGAGCTGTTTGCAGCAGGATTTGTTAGCTGTTGGTCACAACTCCATGAGTCTAGTCAAAAAGCCCTTGTTCGCAGTTTAGAGATGGCATTTTCTTCCCCTAATATACCCCCTGAAATGCTTGCAACATTACTTAACTTGGTATGGCTAAAAAAACAGTTGCTTATAAGTTATAAGTTATATACACTATGTGCCTCTAATGATTTCATATTATCAATTTGCAACATGTATTTTACAGGCGGAATTCATGGAACATGATGAGAAACCCCTTCCCATTGACATTCGTCTCCTTGGTGCTCTTGCTGAAAAGGCGAGATGTCTTACAAACTTGTGATGTATAAACTTTTCATTTTCAAGGCATTGTTTTGTTTATATGCTTTTTTGTTGTTGCAGTGTCGAGCATTTGCCAAGGCTTTGCATTATAAAGAGATGGAATTTGAAGGTGCACTTTCCAAGAAGATGGATGCCAATCCTGTTGTTGTAGTTGAAGCACTCATTCATATTAATTTATGGAGTACTGACATATATATTAATTTAGGCTGCAGTTGGGATATTGACCTATGCGCAACAACGTTTGGATGTACAACTGAAGGAATCATGGTATATTTCCAGGACCCTGAAATCATTTACATTTTCTTATTTTCTCAAAATATTAAGTGTTTATGTTGCTTCCAAATACAAGGTATGAAAAGCTGCAACGGTGGGATGATGCCCTTAAAGCATACACTGCAAAATCTGCTCAAGCAACAAGTCAACATCTTATCTTAGATGCTACACTAGGTATTATCAAATATACCATGCCATGGTGTTATAGTATTTATATTATTATCATTTCAAGGTAATTAATTAAAATATTTGTTCATTCTTAGGACGAATGAGGAGTTAGTGACAAATGGGTATATATTATATAATCAAAACACTATAACTATAAATATTTATTTTTTTACTAAAAATAAATTATTTGAGTTAAAATGGCATGAATGATTTCAGGTAATGGGGATGGTAATTCTGAAAATGGCTCCCATAGA